GCTCGTGAATTAGCAGGTTCTTTAGTGTAGTCACTTTGGGTTCTGCCAGGCAGTGGAATCCTGAATGGCTATGACAGTTTGTTAATGGAGCCTTAACGCTTTTTTGCATGTTTTCTTCATCTGTTTATACCTGGTAATTGTCTTCCCCTTATCTGGGAGATACCCCTGAGGGCAACACAATGAGACTCTGTCTCAAAAATTAAAAAAAAAAAAAAAAGAATATGTTTGAAAAGACAAGGTTAAATAAAAAGAAAGAGAAAAAATTGAAAAATGAAAAACAGAAAAAAAGTTTGTTTTACAGTGTTTCTCACAGTCTGTCTCTGCCAAGTCTCTCTGGGTGTCATTTACCACGTTCCTCTGTTCTCTTTCCTGTCAACGGGTGGTTCTAGCAGTTTATCAAAACAGGCCAAGTTTTGGCAAGACCATTTCAATAGGCGCTGCTGTTACTCCTGTCGGGAGGTTTATCATGCCTTTTTCAAAGCATTTTTTGAAGGTGGATATGAACGAGGCAAAAAGCCAGCAAGACTGAGTCCAGTCAGTAATGTAGGTGATCAAGCTCAAAAATGATGGTTTGAGTTGAAACAAGGTGTGATCAAATGATGAATGACTTGCCTGTGTGGCTGGTAAACTGGCTCTGGAGGAAAATTCCAAAACAGTTCCAAAAATGTTCTGTGACATGGCAGCATGAAATGTGCAGCCACCCAGAGTGACTAATATGCATTGGTCCACAACAACACTGACATTGATGATGAAATGGTATGTATTATAAAGTCAGCTCTGCCACGTGGGTGGACACACGAGTGTCCCCTTTCAGGTCACTGGCTCCTATTAAGGACCACTGAATGTCTTCGTGTACGCCCCACTTCAGATTTAAAGTGGAGCTGAACTGTCGTTGTCTTGCTTCAATGCGAGACCTGCTTAGCAGCCCGGCCCAGGACCCGTCGGCCCGCCGAAGGGCCCTCAGCAGTGTAGACAAGGATGCTGCCAGGCTGCACCCGCCCCGGTGCTTGCCTCATCTCCATTCTCAGCAAGAATGTGGTCAGGACGGCTCCGGAGCAGTCAACAAAAAATGAGGAAGCACATCTCAGAGCCTCCAGGACTGACCCGAGGTGAGCCTCAGAGCGGGCGCCCAGAGCAGGAGGCCACGGCTGTTCACTAACTACCCGGGTCCAGGTTTGCGGAAGCGCGGCCCTCACTCGCTGACCCCCACTCCACCTCCGCGTGAGGCCCGGGGAGCCCCGGCCCGTGATGCAAGGAACAGGGTGGAGCCGCGGGGCCACCAGCGAACCCCGTGGCGCTGACGCTTTCCCTAAGCACCTCCCACGTCTGCCGGCCTGGAGCTTGCACCTGCGCAGCTCCGGCCCAGCCCGGTTGTTACCCCCTCCCCCTCCCTAGCAACGGTCGCCCGCTCCCGCCTTCGCCCCCCTCGGCCACATTTACGCATGCGCGCCCCTTCCGGCACTCGGCCCCGCCCTTCCCGTCACCCGTAACAACCACTGGTGCCCTGGCCGCGCCCCTCCCCGCTCCCGCCCCCCGTCCTCCTCCCCGGAACCGGCGGTCTAGCTGCGGCCGTCAAGCAGTGGAACGGCGACGGCACCGCAAAATCGCCGGCATGAGCGCCCTCCGCCGCCCCGCGTCCCGGGCCCGGCCTTTCTGACAAGAGGTAGGCGCGCGTCGCCGCGGCGGGCTCCGAGCGCGCCCCCCGCCCCCGCCGGGGTCCGGCGCCTCCCGGGCGGGCTCCGAGGAGCTGGGCGGCTGGCCAGCTGCTCCCGTCCTGCCCTGGGACGGGCGCCCGCAGCGGGACCTCGTCGGGTCGCCCCTCCTCGCCGCCCGCCCCCAGCCCGCCGGGCTTCCCACTCCCGAGTCCCTCCTTGCGGGGAGCGGAGTTTGGGTCCGGAGCCTGTCTCCGGCCCACGTCCTCTGTGTCGCCCGGGCTGGGGCTCCTCCCGGAGCAGTCGGGCAGGACCCCTGCGGAGCAGCCCCGAGTGCTAGATTCTCCTCCCCCCGCCGGGGACGTATCCCCGGGGTCTGGCCGGTGGCTCGTTTTAAACACCAATTGTCATGCAATAGAGGCAGCCCGGGTCCAGGATGCCCCTGGGCGGTTGTTACTCCGGATGCCCGCGTAGGGCGTTTGTCTGGACCAGAGCATCGGAAGCTGGCAACTGGCAGGAGTTCAGAAGCTCGTGAATTAGCAGGTTCTTTAGTGTAGTCACTTTGGGTTCTGCCAGGCAGTGGAATCCTGAATGGCTATGACAGTTTGTTAATGGAGCCTTACGCTTTTTTGCATGTTTTCTTCATCTGTTTGTACCTGGTAATTGTCTTCCCCTTATCTGGGAGATACCCTAAAATTAATTTTCTCAATTAAATTTTAAAAAGATGATTAGATTCCCACTGTGCGGCAAGATTGTATGGTTCGTAGAAACGAAATAGAACGTGTCCCCAGTGCACCAGGACGCATCAGTCCTAGAATCGAGATTAATGAAAGCTTTAACTTGAGTTTGGCGGAGAACTCAAGAGCTTGGCTCTAATTCTCTTGATTTTAGAGTTGGAAGTCTTTCGCGATTGTCTCCCCCCAAACCTCATTTTACGGAGATGAAACTGTCCTAGAGAATTCAGATGCCCTCCTTGAGGTCATCCACAGTTACTCCTTTCGCAGTTTCCCACTGGCAAGTGGTGCTGTTTTTCACTGTAATCTGCTCCTTGTGAGAGGTATGCCAAGCATGCTACAGAAAGTTCCAGATGTGTTTAAATGTAATTATGTAGATAGGAATTTTCTGAAATAAAATATATCTTCCTAAATTTTTTTAAACAGACTTTGGGCTCCTTGAGGAGCTTTTGTACTTTTGAATATTCTCTCACCATATTCAGCCTGAAATAACGTTCTTTTTATTATTTTAAATTAATGTGAGGATAAAGATTTTTAGATTATATTGTTTTCACTTATAAGATGAAGTTAAGTTGAAGTTGAGCCTGTCACCCAGGAGGTGTGCTGAACACCCTCACATTGTGTACATTAGGTGACACCCTGCCAGTCGCCCTCCTTCCTCCCTAAAACAACATTCTTAATGATTATCCTCAGCAAGACAGGTAGGCTCATTGGATTTCTTTTTCTTTTTTTTTTTTTTTTGAGACGGAGCCTCAAGCTATCCCCCTGGGTAGAGTGCCGTGGCATCACGCTCACAGCAACCTCCAACTCCTGGGCTCAAGCGAGTCTCCTGCCTCCGCCTCTCAAGTAGCTGGGACCACAGGCGCCGGCCACAACGCCTGGCCATTTTTTGGTTGCAGCCATCATTGTTGTTTGGCGGGCCCAGGCTGGGGATTTGAACCTGCCACCTTAGGTCTATGTGGGTGGCGCCTTAGCTGCTTGAGCCACAGGTGCCGAGCCGGATTTCTTTTTCTTACTCATATTTAAATACGGGAGTAAGAGTCACAGAGGACTCCAAGTAAAAGTGTGTTTTAAGAAAAATCCTCCAAGCCTGGCCCTAACGTGTGATTATGTACTTTGCCGGAGGAGTCCTTGACCTGTGAGTTAGGCTTTGAGCATTAACTTGATGACTTACAGATACTGCAGCTGTTTGAGGCTGGAGATTTCAGTGGAGCCTCTAGCCAGGGTACTTACCATCTCTGCTACTTCAAGATAGGTCTTCAAAATTGTAGTGTACACAGTTAGAAAACAGGAATTGATGAAAGTTTCCTTTGAAGCTGGCTTTTGAGAATTCCATCATTTGAGATACAATAGTATTGTTTGCCACTTTTATTTTTGTTTCCCAAGGACTGGCATTTTAATGTGTGGCCATTTTTATTAGGCTCCGAGTGGAAGTTGTTGAAGAGAAAATGATAATACTAATTCTGTTGGTTATTAGAATAATTGAGTCAAAGTGTTTCTTTGCTTGCCGGAAAGGACTCAGGTCACCTAACCCGATGCAGTTGAGGGTATTGGAGACCTCCACCCTTAGACCAGGGCTCTTTCTCTGGTTCCACTGGGACTTCCTCTCCTTTTCTTACTGTTTGACTATTCTCCTTACTCTTATGTAATTCAGTATCATCTTTTGATTTTTGTGTACATAGAATTATGTCCTATTGTGGTCTCTTTCTGTCCTTAGAATATGTTACAGTGGGTCACTGTGAATTTAATTTATTTCTGTATCGTGGTTATTTACCACATGTTTTTATGTTTTGCAGGTGTGAGAGGATTGCAATTATATTACAATCATGGTGCAAAAATACCAGTCACCGGTAAGGGTGTATAAACACCCCTTTGAGTTAATTATGGCTGTAAGTACTTTACATTTCAATTTACTCTTTCCCTTATTTTTTTTAAGTACAGCATTAGAATTTGATGATCTGTGAACATTTATAGTTTGTCTTCATTGCTGCATTTATACTGAGTCTAGATTTTATTCTTGTGAACTGTACCTGGAGTCTTAAAATGTTTTTAAAATACAAGCCTCTGAAAATAAAAATCTGTGTTTTAAAAAAAGATGCACCTCAGGGTGATGTATGAATTTAAATTAATTCTTTATTTGAAAACACAGAAGTGGGATTCTGACAAAATACTTCTTCCTCTGGATTTCTTTTTTTCTTTGTTAAAATAGAAAAAGAGACACAGAGTGTGATTTCTTCTACTTTTACTTGTTTGAAGGGTGCTCTGGTTCTGGGTGAATTCACTTCGCATAGTTTTAGAACAGTGCTATAGGTTGGAATTATACTAACATTGATCAAATGACTCTTTTGAGTGAGTTTTTCTCCTAATATCAAATCCATGAGTTAAGTTAGAATTCAACAAAGGGGGTAACTAAAAACTTCTTTCATTTACCCAGAGAGTTTGACTAAAAATAGGCATTTTACTAATGTAAAACAAAAATCTTTTCCAATCACTTTTGTATTACTATAGGGCATTCCTTTTTTTTCGTGTTATCATAATAAGATATAATATGGGGCCAGGCTCAGGTGGCTCATGCCTGTAGTCCCATCCACTAGGAAGGCTGAGGCAGAAGGATTACTTGAGCACAGGAGTTCAAGGTTGCAGTGAGCTATGATGACACCACTGTACTCTAACTGGGTGACAGAGGAAGACTAGGTCTCAAAAAAAAAAAAAAAAAGATATGGGGTGGCGCCTGTGGCTCAAAGGAGTAAGGCGCCAGCCCCATATACCGAGGGTGCTGGGTTCAAGCCCGCCCTGGCCAAATTGCAACAAAAAAATAGCCTGGCGTTGTGGCAGGCGCCTGTAATCCCAGCTACTCGGGAGGCTGAGGCAAGAGAATCACCTAAACCCAAGAGCTGGAGGTTGCTGTGAGCTGTGATGCCACGGCACTCTACCAAGGGTGACAAAGTGAAACTCTGTCTCTAAAAAAAACCCATCCCTGGCCAAAAACTGCAAAAAAAATGTATACAGGCAAATACAATACATACAGGAAAATGCATGTATTATAAACATACACCTGATGAAAAGATGTATGTCAGGCTGAACATAACCTAGCACCAGGTTCAGGCTATAAGCAGCCCATGAATAAGTCCCACTCATTTCCTCACCCCTGCAGAGTCTGGACTCCAGCACCATTGGTGCCTGTTACCTGTTACCTGTGTATGTTCTTCATACAAATAGAAACTGTTTTAGCATCTAGCTGCTTCTGCTCAGCATTGTGAGATTTATCCAGATCAGTCCAGTTTTGAAAAACAATAAAACTCAGGTCCTGTCATTAGGGGAGTTTTTTTTTTTTTTTAAATTGAGGTCCAATTTAATGGTTACATGTCAGGTATTGAGTTTGATTAGTTTTAACAAAACAGTCACCGACACCCTCTGTCAAAACAGAGAACATTTGCATTCATACCCTAGAAAGTTCCTTTGTGCCCCTTTTGTTTGTGTTTATGTGTAGGTGTTTCTTTACAAAGTTCTGTATTTCTGTTAAATATATTTACCTAGGACTGCTGAGTATTTTATGTTCTGACTTACCAGAAGGTTTCCTGTTTGCATGTTACTTGTGCTATTTGGCTTTTGGTTGTGTGGGGGCAAATGCTCATTCCAGCTAACTTGAGAGGAATTTTGTTAGTGGGAACACTTCTGGTGTGATAGGGATCACACAAAAATCCAGGAATTCCATTTGGGATGGGCTGAGGAAAGGCCTAGCTTTGGAGAGTGGTTCTTGGCAGTCTGGGGCCTCCACACCAGTTGTTCCTAGAGCTTCACCCCATGGGTCTCTGCCTTTCTCCCACCACCAGCTGGCTTCTCTGCTAACTCCAGTTTCCCCTCTCTTGTAGCTTCAGTTCACCAGCTTTCTTAGCTGACCAGAACCCCCTGGCCCTAGTTCAGCTTTGTGGCATTTCTTGTTGCATTCTTTCAGTTTCTAAGTGACCAGTGCTTGTCACATTTCCTAGTTCACATTCTCCAGAGAAACTTGATCTGGTTCCTTTCTTCCCCCTGGCTCTAGGATCTAGGGTATTGGCCAGTCTGTGGATTATCAGCCTGGAGTGAATTGCCTGGCCCTTGTTCAGTTAGCTGAGCTGGTGGGGGTCTATGGAAGAGGTGTTGGGGGTAGTGGAGGCAGAAAGGCAGCTTTGCAAAAGCAGAGTTCCTGCCCTTTTGCCCACGCAGGGGGCCTGTGGACAGAGGGTGATGTGGGGCAGGCACCATGATGGGGTGAAATTTTTCACAACATTCAGTGTGATTTAAAAAGCCTGATGCTACCCCTTTTTCATTTGAAGCAAAGGTTGGTCTCTTTGACAAATGTTAGATTTAATAAGGAGGTGTTTTGATTGTCTCATTCAAACTTCCTTATTTCCCTAATGTTGCTATTTTTAAAATTGTGAAGTTTGCCTCGCCAGTTTTATGCATGAATTTGCAGAAGAACTTGAAATTCAAATTCTGAGCCACCCCCACTGTTTTAAAATTAAGCCATTTTTGGCCAGGCATGTGGGCTTCTGTAATCCTGACACTCTGGGAAGCGGAGGTGGGAACATTGCATGAGATCAGGAGTTCGAGACCAGTCTAAGCAAGATTGAGACCCTGTATCTACCAAAAAAATAGAAAAAATAAGCTAGGAGGCTGAAGCAGAAGGATCACTTGAGCCCAGGAGTTTGAGGTTGTAGTGAACTATGATGACACCACTGTACTCTACCTGGGGTGACAGAATGAGACTCCCGTCTTTAAAAAAAAATTAAGCCATTTATAAATTGTTTCAATGAACTGGTTAATTTCCTTTTTCCTCTTTTTTCCCTTAGCCCTACCAGCTTCAGGACATTTTCTTTTGAATATGTTAGATAATAAATATTTTTTAATCTGAAAAGGAAATATGTTATCTTTTTGTTCCCCTAAACTAGAATGTTTATTAAGTCATTAGTGATTGTTTTTATTAACAGAGTGGATTTTTCTTGAGTCATTAGTGATTTTTGCATGGTGTCATTTGCTCCTTTTTATGACTGTTTGATTGTGTGGTCTAAAATCGTCAGTATTTATTTTGCTTTACTTGTTTTTTTTCAGTGAATAAAAAACAATGGCATGATAATCTGAAAATACCCTTTTCAGTTCATCATTTAGAGTGAGGAAAGAGATGCACATTTAAGGCAATAGCAGAACCATAGTTTCAACGGACAGATTTGTGAGAATGTCAGAAGTGACCGTGTCTCAGTGAGCACGGTGCGTGGCAGAGTCAGGAGCGACCGTGTCTCAGTGAGCACGGTGCGTGGCAGAGTCAGGAGCGACCGTGTCTC